TGCTGCCAGGCCCATTAGCTTTCAGCTGTCTGAGTGGTTTTAAGGGATAATTTCTTGTATTAATTTAAATTTTCCTTTTCAAGGCAAGTGCCAATATTTACCTTCTGGGGACAGTCTCATGATGTATGTTTATCCTCTTTCATCACATGGACATGGCTGTAGTCAGGGTGGTGATCTTCACTGCAGTCAGTGCTTCCAAGATTACTTCTGTGAATGGGTCATATTCTCAGAAAGGAATACATTGCTCCCAGGCCTGTGCTGAGGTTATTTTGGGCAGGAAGTGTACTTACTGATACAAGTTCTTTTATAGATTGATTACTCTCTGTGACTGGTGGGCCTTTGCTTGGTGATGAATAGAGGCAGTCTAGGCTTGCTGGTAGTGCCTTCATAATATGCTCAGAACTACCACTGAAAAACACGCTCCCACCCCCTTGCTCCCCACTCAATGCTCACCAAAGCCCAGAAATGAGGTGTATAGTCTACGCAGTATAGCACAGCCTTGGGTCTGCCCCCACATATACTCCCGGGATAAAATATTTCTGAGACATGCTAGGTACGTTCTCAGCAACACACTGAACCAGTGGTGCTGTCTGATATCTGGGGTTTGGTACATGCAGAGCAAGAGCGAATGGGTGGATTGTGCTGCTAAGTAACACTCCTGTGTTCACTGCATAGCCAGTGGAGACATGCCCTTGGAGGGAGGAAGATGTCTTTGCTAGGGTATCTTGGTTGTTGTTTTTCCCCTCCTGCAATTTTGTAGGGATGTTTTGGATGTGCAAATATTCACTAGAATTATTTCAGGGTGGAGGATGGTTGGGGTTTCTGGGGGTGGGTTTTTTTGTTTGGGTTTTTTTGCTTGTTTTGTTTTGTTTTGGGGTTTTTGTCCCTTCCCTCCCTCTCAATCTACCCATTCGTGTCCTAGTGACTTTCTGCTCTTTGATTATATCTCACATCCATGCAGTTTAAAGGAAGCTTGCATAAACATTACTAGAAAAACGTTTTGTTCTGTTGGTCTACCTGACAAGCTAGGCTCCTGTTTCAATTTCCCCAATATGTAAATTGTCTTGTCGTAGCATTGGAGAGATGACAAAATGAGTAACCTTTTTTTAATTTTTTTTTTTTTTTAAGTGTGTATTATCAAGTTCTTACTGCTGCTTTCTTTTGATGAAGAAGCTTACTAGAATCTCTAGTGCGGAGGTTTCCAAACTTTTTCTTATTGTGTACCCCCCTTCCAGGTTTACCAGCTGTCCACGTACCCCTACCAACATAGGTTTTATTTTAACTCCTTAAATACCAATTATTATAATGAAAATTAAATCAGCCATTACATAATTTCTCCTGTGTACCCCCCAGAGATGTTGTATACCCCTAGGGGTACATGTACCATAGCTGGGGAATCCCTGCTCTAGTGGATCTGATGCTAGTGCCCCACAGAGCTGTCATCAAAAATTTAAAACTTTTTTTGCCTCTGCCATCTAGCCTGATATTGCTCAACATGCCTCTGAGGAGAAGGCACCAACTTAATGGCTGGTGATCTGCAAGAGGGACTGGTTTTCATTCCTGTTCTTTTCCAGGCTAAAAAAATGTGTTTGGGATATGCCCTCTGTAGGAAAGCATTTGAAGAGTGTGTTTGTGTTGCTTGGTGGTAACCCTTTTCTGTCTGACCAAAGGAGCAGAGTTCAGTGGTTGCTGAAAACAGCGATCCTGCTCACTTCTTGACTAGTAGATGTGTCAATCTAAGCAGGCCTCAGCTGGATATGGAAGGTGGTAGAGAAACCTTGTGCTTATGAAAAATGATGGCATTACCTCAAATTTGACAGTGCAGACATGGCTCTTACCAGTTTGATCACCTCCATTCTTGATATTTAACTCTTGTGTCCCAGTCCTGAGCTGCCTTTGAACAGATACAAAATACTTCAAAATGTAGCATGCTTGGAAATAATGGAAACAAGTATAAACTGGGAACTAATAGGCAAGCACCAGTTAGCTTTCACTTGAGACAGTATTTAAACTTGGCCACCAGTGACAGGGACTACTGCACTGTCCATCCCTCAGGTGGCTCTTGTCCTTTCCTCCCAAGCTGACTTTTTCACCCTCCTTTCCCAGGACATTGGTGGTGCTCTATCTCCACTGAAGAAGAAGAAAGCAAAGACAGGAAATGACTTTGTGAAATTTGAAAAAACAACTTTACCAAAGCCAGTGTTCTTCAGGAAAGCCAAAGGCAGTATCTCCTCTACCAGGACATCCCTGCAGGTAATATGTCTTGATTGGATATTCCAGAACAAGGGTTTTGCTTGTAGTGTGGTTTCCAGAGCTCAGAGGCACTTCATTGCCACCTGCATTCAAAAAGCTGAGGGGCAATTTGCTGAGGGGACTTAGGCCCCAGTGCATGATAGTTCAATCTGAATTAAAATAGCTCAACACATCAAGATGTTTTGGGATCCCCATTTCCAGGGGTTGTGCCTGTGTCCACGGGGAAGACAGTTCCAGTCTGCTCTATCATATCCAGATGAGTTGTGACCCAGGGGCTCCTGACAAATACTTAGCACTGTATATGTTGATAGAAATTTTGGCACCACAGGCGAGAGGAAAACAGACATGTTGGAGCCACTCAGTAGTCAGTGATGTAATTGCCCAGGGGGGTTTAAGTGTTGTTTCAAGGAGAGTTTTCCCCAGTGCACAAAAAAGAGAAACTGTTATAGTGAGCATTTTGACAACTTTGACAGTATCATTTCATAGTTTGTATGGGCTCAAGACTATCAGCCATCTGAGTTTAATAGGATTTTAATCCCTTACCCCTGGCAGCAGCTGTCCCTGCCACTGGCTGGGCTGCAGCTCTGCTCTCTGGCAAGCAGTCATGGAGCCCCTTTCCCCCCCCCTTCCTCCTTTTTCCCTTGGAAAGGAGTAAAAGGAGGGAGGGGAACACTGGGATGCAAAGGGAGCAAGTGCTCCCCTGTAATGTTATATGTAGATGTTCAGATGTTGCATGTAGTGCTACAGATCACCTGTTTCAAACAGGAACATTTTTGTAGCATTTGCACCATTTTTCAGGTGCTAGAGGTAGGTTGTGCATCAGGGTGGACAATTATTTTGAGCGGAGGGCTGTTTACTGAGTTTTGGCAAGCCATCAAGGGCCGCATGACAGGCAGCCAGGGGCAGATAAATATTAATTTTCTAAACTTTTTAGGGGCCCCGCGGGATGGATAGAATGGTCTGGCGGGCTGCATTTTGCCCACCCCGGTGTACATCTATACACTATAAGGGTGTGTATAGTGCTACAAATGCAATGATTGAGACCAGGGACAACTGTTCACAACTTTAACTCAGCTCCTTGGGCTGCTTTGGCTTATGGTTGTTGTCTTGTTTTTATTTGTGGGGTAAACTAGAAAGTACAACTTTGTGTCCTTAACCAAATTTTACAGCTGCTTTAGTAGTCCTGGTACACACATGCATGCTACACTCCTAGTCCCCTGAGCACATGTGTAAAATGGTTAGTTAAACAGAAACTTGTAACAGAGGATGGATTCTGAATACATCCTTCTTAGACATAAGCTGCTGGGGCCTTCCCTGGTAACTCTTCTAAACCTTACTAAAGTTATAATTTATTAAGACCCTTTGCACTCCAGCAGCTAGGAATGCCATGGGCCAATGTTCTTAGCATGCAGAAGTTAATTTTTTTGCTCCTTGGCAAACTCTCTAGTAGACGTCAAAGAGTATTCTTCTAAGGAAATGCATTGTTTCATGGCAGAGAGTATGGCAAGAAATGAGCAAGGGCTGCAGTGCCTAGTCTGTTCAAGTGGAGAGGGTATCAGATCGAGGAAAAGAAACTGGAATGTTTATGGCCCCACCTAGGATGCCAAGGAAGGAACGTAATGTTGTTCAAACCTGTTCTGCTTTGTTTTTATTCTGTAGTTAAACAAGCTTCAATCCTCCAGTTCCAAAAAAGTCACCTTTGGGTTGAATAAGAACATGACTACTGGTGAGTCTGTGCCTTATCTCTTTTAGTAGGGGGTGGAAAGGCAAAAGGGGAGCATGGTAACTGTATGCACAGGTTCTGGTTCCATTGCTTTGCATGGTTCAGAAGATGCATCATGATTTTGGTATAGTTTATGGACCCAAAGCCCATCTAGCAGAGAGACTGAAACTTGGGACCCTCTAGGCTAGATAAAGGAGATGTCATGATTCCGTGAAGTCAGATTGATGCCTCAGGGCATGAGCATTGGATTCAGTAACTCCAGACACTTCAAGTCCTTCTTCCCTGCCCCCCCCCAGCTTTTTTGTATTTTATTTTATTTTTTTGCTTGTGTTAACTGTCATAAGAGAGCCATTCAGGAAAAGCTGCCTCCAAACAGAAGAGTCTCTGAACTACTCTTGGTGCATGTGCCATAGTAGGAGAACAAGTTCTGTAGCACAATTCCACTTTCATCTTAACTGACTCTGCTGCTAATAATGGTAACATATAAGTATGACCCATCCACACTGGACACACACAAAGATTGTGCTTCTGTTCTTTTTCTTGATACTGACCCTTAGTGGAATTAGGCAAGGCTTCTATTAGGATATTTAATATTTCAAATCAGAGTTACAATAGATGTGCATGTGTGTGTATAATCTTGCTAATGTTAAGTGTGTGTGTGTGCATGCATGCCTGTGTACATAATACAGTTTCATGAGGAAGATGAATGTTTAAGCCTTGTGGTCAGCAATTGTTCTTAATTGCAGTTGCTAGGACTGAGTTTTTTAAAACAGGAGGAACAGTACATTTCACCCCTCCTTCCCCCCCAAAAAACAATTCCTTCCAAAAACTTTTTGCTAGGTTGACTAGAATAAGGGTTCTCAATCTGCATTGTATCTCCTTTCCTGCTTAATTACAGAACAAGTATGGCAACCTCAGGAAAAGAGATGAGGAAAGTATTTAGCTGTATTTTTAATGTGATGATGTAGGAGCTGGAAAAAAGAACAGCTCCATGTGACCATCCAGTTCCCTGCAGGCCACCAGTCAGTCCATAGAACACAGTTGAGGTATCAGTGTTCTGGCAGGTGAGAAGACATCACCAGGAGCTGTAGACTCAGGTCCTGGCCTCTTTCAGGCTCCTGCTTCCCTCCCACCCCACATGCATACATCACCATTGCCAAACCAGGGTTTTCAGATTCCTGGTTTCAGATTCCATGGTGCTTTCTACTGCTTGGGTGATGGGGACATTGCCTAAAATTCCAATAACTTTCACTTCTTTTTTTTTTTTTTTTATTTAACAGAATTTAAAAAGACAGACAAGAGTATCTTGGTGAGCCCAGAAGGACTCTCTCGGGTAGCTTTCAATCCTGAACAAAAGCCTTCTCATGGAGTACTGAAGTCTGCAGGTACGCTGGTAGGAGTCCTTCAAACAAAGAAACAGCTTACAACATCAGTGAAGAAGAGACCAACAGCTATGGACTTCTTTTAAGCCAACTAGAAGTGGCCCACTTTTATACAGGACATTTCGCTCAATTAAAACTTTCGGGGGGGGGTATTTTGTAACTTTTTTTATTAAGTTGTTGCAAATTGCATAGTAAAGGTTTTGATTACAGCCTGTGACACTGCAGCTTCTTAACACCTCTTCAGCTGTATCTTGAAATACTTGTGGCCCCTATTACAGAAAAGGAATGAAATGGGCTCCCTCTCCTCAGGTTTCCAAAGGGTGTGCTCTCTCGCCCCTGTGTTCTCAAGAGACGCTAGATAAAAATTAGGGTCATATTTTTGAGTTAAATGTGCACTTCAAGCCATTTGACTGTCTATAACATGTCAGGATTTGAAAAACAAACAAACAGAAGTTGTCTATTAATGTATTTAAAGACTCGCTCTTGTCTCTTGTCAGGCTGATTGATGGCATTCTGGTTTATCCTTATTCTTGCTAATGAGCTTTTCAATCAGCCTCTGAAAATAATGAAAACAGCATCTCACTTAAATGGACCACTGGATTCTCAGCAGCCTTACTCATGATAGAAATACAGTAGTTATTTAGGTGATCATCTTTATAAACCAATCTGTGGCACTGGGTGGCTGCCCAGCTGCTAATGCGCACAACACATTACCTGTAACACAAGTGCCAAAGCTGACTATTACTTCACGATTGCTTGTGACGTTATCATTGGTTTCTCCACGTTGCTCCTTCTTTCTGCTGTACAACTGAAACAATACTATTGTATTTGAGAAGTCTTTTACATTTGAACTCCTCTTTCCCCAAGGACCTTTCAAAGGTTTCAAAAAAGTCTGTCTTCTGCCCTGCCTATTGATGTCACTCTATTTGAACAGAGATCACACTTTCATTGAGTTAAAGAAGTTCTTACCACATTAAAGTGAACCTAGTACATCTTTGTTTAGGATACACATCTCTCCAAAAGCCTTGGTGCCTTTCAAAACGGGGTAGAGCTTTACAGCCCAAGCCACTCATACCTTTTTTAAAGGTAACACCAGAAAAGTGTCTTCTCCAGGATTGCTTGTATCTGTGTGTTTTTATTCTACATGAAATATTCATGCAGAATATTCTGTAATTACTCTTCATGATCTATATTTAAGGATTTCTTTTTCCTTGAGTTCAGTCAAAAATTAGGTAAACTTCTGTAACAGACCATTGTTGTCATCTAAGGGTGAACTGTGGGGTAGGGAGATAGCACTAGATCTCTGCTTTGAACATGAATTTTGAAGCGCAAATAATTCCAAGATACACCTAACCATTTAGTTTCTCTTCAGTTACTTCTGGGACTCTATAATCACAGGTAGCCTGTATCATTATCTTGTCCTATCCAAACTGGCAGAGGTTTAGCTACTTCAGCCAGCAGAGTAAAATCTGTAAAAAAAAAAATCTTTTTACTGGTCTCTGGTGCCTACTGTCCTCTGCCAAATAGCCCCATCTGCTACTGGAATTAAACTGTATTTTCCTTGAAGCAGTTCGTCTAGAGTTTCTCCAAAATTTTGTATAATTGTAAATTAATGACAGTTCTCAATAGCTCAGTTTTAAATAGCTCCTACTGTTGCACTAAATTTAATACCAGTCCACGGCTTGTGGTACTGACGTAAGAGCTTTAGAAAATCACTTGCTCTCCTGCTGTTTGAATGTTATTACTCAGTCAAAATTAAAGGACTGCATTTCAGTGGGTTTTATTTTTTATTGATCTGGCCAGTCAATAGAGACCTAAGGAGAATTCAGCGCTATTAATATTTGCTGTTTGATTGTTATTAATTTATACAAATGAGAAATTCTCATTGTGTATTAGAAAATTACTCTGACAAGACAATGGTGAGTAGGAGTCAATGAGGACTAATCAATAATGTTATGCTGTTTATCTTGTACTGTGGGTAAGAAGTCTCTTGTGGAATATGCATTTGTATATGCATGGTTGTTAATGCATTATGTTTGAGATGCAGTATTCCTCCAAGGTTGTAGATGCAACACGATTAGTAGGTGGAACTGGTGTGCATAGAGAAACTCGGGTCAGAAGTTCAAATAAAATGTTCATTTTATATCTTTCTACAAGCATCTTCAAATTTCTGGCTAATCCCTTATCGGTTATGGATCCTGTGATCTGCTGCTTGTCCAAATTTACTGTTGCCCACAAATGCTAACTGCTGTAGGCAGAAGCAGCTGTGTCACTCTTTAATGAGCATTGTAGTGATGTGATTTGCTCATTGTGGATTCATGCATACTGTGTCTGTGCCATGATATCGGTGGAATGTCTTGTAAATATGCATGTGTAGTACATATGGTCTTCAGTGATGTCTGGGATTTCATTCAGGAGTAGTTTTAAAATCACAAAATAACCAAAACGGTTGATGCAATTTATTCCATATTGTTGGATTAAACTGAATAAATTATCCAGAACATTTAGGTAATGAAAATTCCAATAAACACTGAAGACAAAAAGGGAGAAATAAATGCACCATCTGGGATACCCACTGCACAAACACAATTGTAGTATAAAGGTACATCTCACTTGTTTTAAAAATAAAGAAGATTGTTTAATGTTATTTCCTAGGTTTATTCATAATTTTATTCTAAATCTGCACGTGTCAACCATATTGAGAGTCAAAATAAACAGGATGAAGTTAATGTGGCTTAGATTTAAAAGGGCAGGATTTTGTAATGGATGTCTCTCTCCCTTTTTTTTTTTTTTTTTAACGAATCTGGTCAACTTTGTACTTATCAAGCTCTACTGGTTTATAATTCTTTATAACTAAATGAACTCAAAAGCACAAAATTAATTCAGCAGAAAAGCCAATTTAAAATTCTATTTAAATATACCTAGTTGGTAAGAGCTTTTATTTTTTATCAGATTTGTGGTTTTGAAAAGCGTCTCGTCCCATTTTTGTCTTTTATTTCCTATACTTAAATTTTATGGCAGGCAGGAAAATATTTCTTGCATTACTTTATGTACCTCTGCAATTGCATTGTTAATCTAACTGTGGATGGTTTAAACATTGGATCACTTAGTTAAGTCCAATAAAACTGTCTTTTCTGTGGATGTTCTACCTTGGAGTGAACTTGTCTGTTTGCATCTGTTTTGGGGGAAGAGCAAGGGGGAGAGTATTTTGAGACTTGCTTAACTATTTTAATACCTGTAACTGAAGAATTGCATGCATGTTGGAAGTAAACAAAGTAGTGGTAGAATACAGTTTTTTCCCATATATGTTTTAACCAGACCAGTTAGTAGACATCATTTAGTACTTATCAGAATAGATCAGGGGCAGGCAATTATTTTGGGCGGAGGGCCGCTTACCCAGTTTTGGCAGGCTGTCGAGGGCTGCATGGGTAGCCCCAGCCCTTGACCGGCATTCC